AGCGAGACAGAAGGTGGAGAGAGAGAGAGAGAGAGAGAGATAGAAAGAGAGAGAGAGAGAGAGAATGGGGGGGGGGGGGGGAGGAAGGGGGGTTGTCCTACATCCAGCCATCAGCTGTATAATAGTAGGTTTCATGCGTTCATCGTATAATCAGAGCACAGTACAGTAACTATTAACTCTTTGGCGCCTTTCTCTTGAGCCGAATGTGTCTTTTGTGAGCTGTCAACCGTTATTTACCTGGGTGGTGATAATAATACATGTATAAGTATGACCTTCGGATTTTACTCTGATGATGGTAGGCTGGTAATGATGGACGCTACGTTTTTTTCTCCGGTTCTCTTTGATTTTTCAGTTGTTTTATTTTTGTGTTTCGTTGATATTTATATTTAAAAATTTTTTAAAATTTTATTTATTTATTTTTTTTTTTTTTTGGGGGGGGGGCTGCTGCCTGCTTGGAAAGAGGAGTTCGTCTTTGTTTTCCTTCTGCCGATTTAACGCGCTTGGTGAGAGGTGTGTATTGACTTTAGCCCACATAATATAAGGAGAAAAGTATGCATTATGAGAACAGACCATTGTCTTTTTGTTTAACATCTTCTTTGTTTTCAAATCTGGGTCAGAGGTTTGAGCCCGCGCTTATATTATGACCTTATGCAGTTGCGAGCGCCGTAAAACCCTTATAAACTAACTAGACGTTTGAGCTAGCGGTAAAAAAGATTCCTTGAACACAGCAAAGGTGCACCGACCTCTGCGTCTCGGAAAAAAAGGGGTAAGGCTGCTTGTTGTCGCCTCGGACATATAATTTCCAAGGCCCTTGAAAACAGGTCTTTTTTTTCATAAAATTGGAAGTGATACATCTAACTTTACCAGGTTTTGGGATCACATCCAGATCCCGGTTGAATTACTTTGGATTTGTAAAGCACTCTTTGACGAGCCAGTTGCCAGACTTGGCGCCTCAAGTTTCTATCGTGTTTTGTGGAATACAACATTCCTGAAGAACGACAGAGATACTAGATAAAATGTGTTCTCTATAATAATAATAACAATAATGATACTAATAATGATAATAATAATAATAATAATAATAATAGATAGTATATATTGTAGCGCAAATCTCCACTTAGCAGCAAGCTCTATGCGCTTCACAATGTCAATGTATACTCTTACCCCAGCAGACCTGAGGGCATTCTGAAACAACCTCAACTTCCTGCGAAGCATACAGTGCAAGCAGCTATTTATAGGCACTAAAACACTAATTTACTGATAATTATACGAATGCAACTCTCAGCTTTTGGACGCACTACATATAAATAGTTAGTTGATGGCACGCAGAAACAGACCCCCCCCCCCCGCGCACTATAAATAATTGATAAGTAAGTTATTTGCATAACTGCAGGTTCACTTACAGTTACAGATAATGAGTTATTTGGCCCAGGTCGAAATAGCCCAAATTATGTTGATTATGTCAGACACACGTACAGATAGAGCTTCCGCTCTTGTTTGTAATAACGACCTGTGAGAGGTGTTTTTTTCAGTTCTGTTTCAATTATATTTTTCTTTAATGTGCAAAATTGTATTGGTTTAGCGGTCCTTGCTACACTGTAAGGTTATTTGGTCGTTTTTAAGCACAAGTGGGCTATCCCGGAAATTGTTGTTTTTAGAAAAATCGAAGTTAAAATGTTTAGACTCTTGTTCAATTTCTTTAAAAGACTAGGAGAGTTTTCTCTATAACCATACAAATATTCCCACCAATGAAACCAAACTTCTCCTTTAGGTAGGGCAAGGCCCACTTTAGGTAGAGGTACACATTTCTGGAAACCCCCGAAATCTGGGTTTGCCCGCTTGTCCGCAAAAGCGACCAATTAAGAGGCAGGACCTAGGAATCGGACGTCTATCTCCGCTCAGACGGAGCCAATTACTGGGGAAAAAGGAGTTCATCAAAGCAACATGTGGAAGGCGTTAATGTTCGTCTAGTCTTCCATGATTGTAGAAGGTAAATACGATGCTACGACAAACAATGCTTCATGCCCTTTATTCAGAACGTGATTGCGGACATATTTGATTGGTCTCACAGATTATTCGCAAAGCCTTGGTGAACATAACTTTTCCGCAAACCGGTGACCTGTTTGTCAAAGGTTGACTCCAATTAAACCAACTATCCCTGATTAAATATTTTCATCCCGGTATCTGCAGAACAGAGCATATTTACTTTCTTCAACATTGTCACCCAACAGACTGTATATATTAACTTGCATCTTTGATTAAATAGGACTTTCTTTTCCCTGAATTTGTTTTAATTTTCTTCTCATAAGTTTTCAAAATTAAAAAAAAAATCCAACCACGATGTTCCCAATCATTTTCTCTGTACGTTTCATGTTTACAATCAAATCTGTACGAAATTGTCCCTTTTTTTGTTGTTGTAGAATATCACTCTGTTATTAGGAGATCACATAACTAACAATCATCATTCATGATTGTACAGACTTGCACAGTGGGAACCGCATTTACATTGCATTTATCTTTGTAAATAAATATTTAAAAACAATCGTGTCTAGAATCAAACCTAATGTTTTGATTTCTTTGCCCTTAACTAAATTTGCCAACTGACTCCAGCAAAATCTTCTTTTTAGAGAACAAATATGTACCGAAGTGTGCGAACATGCACAAGGAAAACTGGATGTTGTATGTACACAATAGACATAACCCTAAGTCCTATAGGGATCTTAAACTCATACATGAATATCTATTGTTTTTTATTTGCTTATATCGATCTAGAAATGAAGCATTTGTCAGACGCCACCATCCACTCTTTTAAATGGTATGTGGCTCAAACGTTGAAATTTTGCAACCCCTCACAATCAACTTCTCTTACATCTACGTAAAATATCTGGACTAGATAATCTACAACTTCTGCTTGGATTCGTATAATAGATAGGAAAATATCTGTTAACTTTTCTTCCACGTACTTGCACATCATTTAAAAATATAACTTGACTACCACCTGACCAAAATAATCAATGGCGGCGTTCGCCGATTGCTGTTATTTAGCTTTATACCGCCAAATCCTCTGAACCCCTCTCCACCTTCCAATGATGACGATGCTCTTGTTCTTAGCAATACTCGCAAATCTCCGTTCACAACCACGGCTCTGTGACCAAGCACCCAGCAATAGTGTGTGTTCGAATTCGTGTAATCAGTATCAATGTTAATGATGTCCGTGTATTCGTGTGTTTTTTCTTGTTTACGTAGTTCACCTCGGCACCGTCTGTCACAGGCTGCCATGGATTTGCGCCACACAGAGCTTCTTTTCTTGTTGTTAGAGAATAGCTTGTTGTAGACGTATGGCCCATCACAGTGGCTACATTGAAAAAGTATAGTTTCAAGGGGCATATAAATCCTATTTGTACGTCTTGTCCTGGTTATTTGCAGTTGTTTTCTCCTCTCCGTAAGCTGTGGCTTAGTGTCTGTCTCCGGGGCTAGCAATCCTGTGCTGTACCCTCTTAGTCCAGATATAAGTCGAAGGTCTTCTATCTTTTTTTTCAAACATCTTATTATCTTCTAGGGTTTTGGTTCTTCTTCCTGTCCTCAAAGGTCCAAAAGGAATCAGTGATGCACGAGAAAGACATTTAGATAATAAATAAACCCAAATGGTATTAATAATGAAATGTGCGCTTACAGATTTACTGAATTTCTTTTTGGATTCTTCTACCTTACACCTGTGGCTGTGAATGTGCCCTTGCCAATGAAACCGACACTGTGAGCGTACAGTTAATTAATTAATTTATTATGTTCATTTATCTGAAACGTCTTTCTCGAGTATCTCTGCTGGGTTAATTATGTATTACTTTTGGTGTTGTTGTTGTTGTTGTTGTTGTTGTTGTTGTTGTTGTTGTTGTTGTTGTTGTTTTGTTGCTTTGATAATGGTGTCTTCAGTTATTTTGCTTTTGATGGTCTTGTTACTGTTGTTGTAGTTTCTTATTGCTATTATTGTTGTCATTTGCACACAAACCTTTAGTTTCAAAATCAACTTTTTACTGTACACAATTTTCTACAGAGTAAGGGAGTTAATCATGAGCAACGTCTCGGCCTCTCAGTCACACATCCTTCCCGTTGTTGGCGGTGGGCCTCTAGTGTCGGATGAGATCACGTACATCATCCAAGGGATCAACTTTGCCACGATCTGTGAGCTCATCGACATCTTCGGCACAGTCACCAACGTGATGAACATCATCGTGTTTGTGAAACAAGGGTTCTCGGACCCCGTCAACGTCAGTCTCTTCGGTAAGATCATATGTGAGGCAGCGTGGTGGAATCAGGCTCTCGTCAAAATAATCAAAGTGAAGAAATAGGCATTTTTATAAAATTTTCGTTTTTTGACTGAAGATCTTTCATGCCCATTAAAGAACACATTTCTGAGCGGATTTTTACTGAAAAACATTGATTAATGGTACAAAAAATGTAAATTTTCTGTTACCTCGGACTCTAAAGTTAAGGAAATAACTTATCTTTGGCGGCCATTTTCTCACTTATTTTACCTCTGAAACCAGGTGACCCCCACCTCCTTCATTCGCAAATATCTCGACTTGCATTCAAGGTAAATGGATATTTTTTTCATTGATATAAAGACAGGTGAAGAAGCTTTAAGATGATACCAATAACTCTACATGCCCAAAAATTGACGAGAGTCTGATTCCTCCACGTCTCGTCACATATAGATAAGAGTTTAAAGTAAAGACATTTATCACATAATAAAGCGTTCAGTCCTTCGGGTTATATCAGGGGAATACCGTGATTTACACGGCTCACACATAATGATGATTTATTGATAAGCAAGTAGATACGTCTAACAAGATTAATGTTTTACCCGTACAAAGTTGATTATTTCCTTTCACCTTTAATGTCTTGTTTATATAAAGCAACACTCTACTTTCTCGCTCATATAATAATTCTTTTGGTTTTATTTTTTTCTACATTTACACCATGTCCATCCCCATCAGGTCTGGCTGTGTCCGACCTCTGCTGTCTGGTGAGTCTACTCTGGCACAACGTTTGCCACAACCCTCTGTTCCACACACTGGACTTGTCTTTTGACCCGATGGACGTACAAGTAAGGAGAACTTTTTTATGACTTAAATATGTGATTGTATAATTTTATTCCTTTTCGATTTAATTATAAAAAAAAAAAAATTGGGTTTATTCCATTTTACCCTAACCGTACGCCCTGGGGATCATTTCATACCCCTGAGGTTGTATTCTTTACATTTTAGAATACATTTAGTACGAATATCTCTTTATTGAAACTTTCAATATTTCTCAAAAAATCATTTTGACAGACTGCTATGCAAAGCGTACGGATAGGATTAACGAGTAAATTTCCTCTTTGGAAAGTCGTGGCACAGAGTTCCCCACGTCGTATGGATACGATAGTAAAACACGACATACGGATAGGGTTAATTATGTGATTCTATACTTTTTTTCTCTATCGATTTAATTATTATTTTTGTTTTGTGTCTTTTCCTTATAAAGTGTGGTTTTAATGGGGAGGGAGGGAGGGGGTGGGTGGGAGAGTGAGTAATGTTCCAAATAATCATATAATCAGGTACTAAATTTTAGTCGAGTACCGGAATGCCTTTTGAGAGTGTTCAAGGATGTTATAACGTTTCTGCCTACAACAGTCACATGGTCGGAGCAAAATGATGTGTGTGTTTGTGGGAGGAGGAGGGGAGGTGGTAGTTAAGACAAAAGATGGCATATCCCAGTGCTACATTGAATTGGAAATAACTAGTTGTTGTAGAAAGCTCTAGGTCTTAAATCATTATAATATTATAGCTTTCGACCTGCAAAACAGTCGCGTCTCATTAAGGGCAGTCTTTCTGTCACTCCTTCATTAGAATATGTGAAGCATCGAGGTGGAATCTGGCTCTCGTCAAATTAATTAAATCAAAGAAACCAGCATTTTCCCACCGGTTTGAGAATATTTTTTCGAATTTCTAAAATGGTTCAAAACCTTTTAGGTCCACTGAAAACCTATTTCTGTTTGGACACAGATTTAGTGTACATTTTCAGCTTCCAAGGACTCTGTAGCTATGGCAGTCGGCATACTTTTCTTGCTAATTTTACGTCTGAAACCAGGCGATCCGACCACCCTCGATCCCAAATATCTCAACTTCTGTTCAAGATATTTTGACTTCTATTCAAGATGGATGAATGCATTTTCATAAAGCAAGACACATAAATAAGCTGTCAGATGATACCAATAACTCCACAAGCCCCAAAATTGGCAAGCGCCTGATTCCACCACGTTGTGACACATTTGTTGTTGTAGTTCTGGATGCTGCTTACCACTGTTTAGCTCATCTGGAATACTTTAGATCTATGCCAAATCAATCTGCCCCCCCCCCCCCCAGTACCTGACGGCTGGATGGCCTCACTTGACCTTCACCCGTATCACCGCCTGGATCACAGCCTTCATTACGTTCGAGCGGTGTCTGTGTATTGCCTTGCCTCTGAAGGTGAGTCCTTGAAGAAAGGTCCAAAAAGTATTGTTTTTTTTTTCTCTCGCCAATCTCATTCTATTTTATGGTTTGTCAATTTGTCTGTCACCGAATCCCTTTGCTTGATCTTTTTTATATCAACCATTCATGTAGATCTAGATCTATCATTGTCTTCCAAGCTCTTATGTTGTAGCTTACTTAATGGAAAACAGTAGCTGGTAAACATCTCCCAGCCTTTCCCTTCTTCCCATCTTTATATATAAAAAATATACCTGTCGCTTCTGAGGGTGTTGGGTTAAAACTTGGGTTTATCTGAATTATATGTTGTTAAGCATGAAATGATAATTTTGTTTCAATACAATCGTCAATTACTTGAAAATATCAATTAATCCACGTGGTCTATTTTAGGGGGGGGGGGGGGGATTACTTTTTAAGGGGGTGGGGTAGGTGCAAGAGTGAACGTATTTGTTTCGACCACGATACAATTTTAATGAATTGGCAGGACAACGGTTTTGCATTAGTCTTCCATTTTGAATAAACGTGTGACTTAAAAAAAAACCCAACAGGACACCTTTATATTATCGCCCCCCCCCCCCCGCTTTCTTTTCTACACCCAGGTGAAGACCCTCATCACGCCAAAACGAGTGGCCATCGTCATCGTTTCCCTGTTCGTCATTCTCATCGCCAGCGTTTCTCCGGTCTACTACGCCAACAGGATCGGGCCCAAGTTCCTCCCAGCTCGCAACAAGACAGTGATAGGCCTAGTCTTTACTCACGACCGCGAGGAGGTGGAAGAAATCTCCTACGCTGTGAACAACGTCCTCGTACCCTTCGGCGCTTTTCTCGTCGTCATCGTCTGCACGGTGATTTTGGTCGTCAAGCTTCGCGGCAAAACGAAATGGCGGAACAAATCGGTGTCAGCGGGAAAATCAGACAACTTCACCAGCCGTGATCAAAAAGTGGCCAAGATGGTGATGATGATTTCTACGTTATTCATCATTTGCTTCACTCCCATTTCTATCAGTTTCATTGGGATGACCATCGAACGTGAAATCTCTATACACGGCAGGTATCGTAACTTGTTCATTGTGTTGTTTTCCTTCGGCTATATCCTGGAATCGGCAAATTCTGCTCTGAACATTTTTATATACTACGAAATGAGCTCCAAATACCGGACAGTATTTGATCAGACCTTTAGAAGAAAATGTGCTAGCCAAGTCAAGGACATTGAGATGTCTTCAGCTCCCTGAACAAAGAACAGCCAAGCCCGGCACCACGAATTCTGGTTTAGTAATACTATAGATGTAGCCATCTACAGCCATGTTAATACTTAGATAATGTTTCATTAAAACCCTGCCCGAGCTCTGTGCTTCTGTCTGAGCTATGTGTGGTGCTTCACGTTAACTTGGACGTTTGGCAATTCTTGTTGGTCGCTTTTAAGCACAAGGGGGCTATACCGAAAAATGCAGTTATGAGAAAATCGAAGGTAAAGTTTTTGCCCCTTGTTCAGTTTCTTTAAAAGACAAGGAGAGTTTTCTCTATAATCAAACAAATATACACACCAACGAAACCAAACTTCACCTACAGGTAGGGCAATGTCCTCTTTTGGTGTAGGTCAAGATTTCTGGAAGCCCCCGAAATCTGGGTTAGCCCTCTTGTCCTTAAAAGCGACAATTTATCTGAATGTCATTTAAATGCCGAGCCTAAGACAAACAAAATTAATGCTTTAAAAATATCGTTGTTCATTGTGGTAACTGTTTTTGTCCCCATTCTTCACAATCTCGCGCACTTAAAAGGCGGGGTTTTGACGTTGTGAGGCAGTGCCAAACCGTGGCGGTGTGGAACAAAGACATGAGTCGTGCAAACAAACTCAGTCACTTTTTTTATCCTCCTGTTGGACATTAACAATTCTTGCCACTTTCCACCAGTGAACACGTAGATAATAAGTGACACGTCTTCTGTTGTGGTTGAAGAATGTGAGTTCTGAAGTGTGACGTGAGACGTGCACGTGATGAAGGTGAGTCCAGATGGTCTAAACCAACATTTCAAAAAGTGCGTTTAGCGCAAGTCAGCTCTCTTCATATCTATATCACTGGGAGGTTGGCGGGTGCTCTGGTGTGGTTTGCTTCTTCTTTCCTATCAAACATCTACTGTCTTTATCTCCCCTCCTTCTTTTTTGTGTTTGTTACTCTCTTGTAACTCCACTAATCTTCAGCACTTATACGACCTTGTTGTGTTGCAAGTACCGTAAAACACTCACTAAAACAACACATACCAATATCACCAACCATTCTTTGCTGAACCACGTTATTCTTTCCTTTTGGAAATGCCAAGAAACTGTCCATAGTTTCACAATTAAAAAAGTATAGTTTGAAAAGGCTTCAAACGAGAGATGAACCTGTTCAATACATTCAACAAAGTGCGTACTGCCAAGAAAGATGTATGGAAGACGCCACTATATTATTTCTTGACAACATCCACAGACATTTACACGAACCAAAGACATCCTGCAGAATTGTGTTTATCCGTGTTTTCTTCACACCATCCACACTTACGTAACGCTGATTTGGTACGAATGTGTCTTCTATGCTGACTGATACTGATACATTTACTATGATGATTTGCCTTGATATGCACAACACTTTATGAAAAAACAGCCTTTTCCAAAAACGTTTAATGAAAATGAAAGATTTGAAACCGGTCTAATTTAAAAAAGTATTTACACCAAGTCCAGTGCGGTTTTTTTTTCCACAAAGGGTGGTTTATGTGCTGTTGCAAAACACTTTGATACTGTGCCTATGAGGAGAGAGGAAGTCACATTTTGGGTAATGTATGGAAGAAATTCATCTAAACAAGCGAACACGCACACACACTCACACACACACACACACACACACACACACACACACACACACGCGCGCGCGCGCGCGCACGTGCAAACGCACATACGAACACACACACGAACACGCATACACACACATCACATACACACACAAACTTTCTCTCTCTCTCTCTCTCTCTCTCTCTCTCTCTCTCTCTCTCTCTCTTTCTGACACACACTCATACACACACACAAACACACTCCCACACACGCACACACACACACACACTCACACTCACACACACATACACATACAAACTCACACATACACACACACACACATCCCTAACACTTTTTCATTGTGCAAGCCGAACATATCATAATGTTATTTCTTCCATTAGCTCCTAAACGATATGCAATATGTGTGCACACTATGTAAGGTCTCCGCATCCAAAATCTTTTCTTGACATGTCAACAAAATCCACCGTATCCATGGCAACGAAACTTTTTTTTCTCAAATTTTATTGCAGATATAAAGACTCCTTACTATGCTTGATATAATGTATCCACTAATAAGCGAGATAACTTTCATGTGTAACTCCCCACCCCCTTTTTTAGTGCGCCAAGAAATGAGTTTGGAAGCAAATAACTTACATAGTCGACCTAGAAGTACCAATTTATACACATGATAACCTGACGACTCACATTCCATTGCACTTTTCGAGTCGGTCACCTTTTCACCCGACCGAAGTGCACACCCCATAACGCTCGCTCACATCTGTCTCCCTCAACCCATCACTTTATAGAGTTCTTTCAGAGCATTCGTCTTACATCTGTCTCCCTCAACCCATCACTTTATAGAGTTCCTTCAGAGCATTCGTCTCACATCTGTCCTCAGTGGGCGGTTGGCGGGTGCTCTGGTGTGGTTTGCTCCTTCTTTCCTATCAAACATCTGTCGTCGTTATCTCCCCTCCTTCTTTTTTGTGTTTGTTGTTACTCTCTTGTAACACCTCTATTCTTCGGCACTTATATGACCTTATTGTGTTGCAAGTGCCGTACAACTCTTAGTAAAACTAAAACTAAACATCTGTCTCCCTCAGCCCATCACTTTATAGAGTTCCTTCAGAGCTTTAGTCTCACACTTGACGACCTCCTTCTTCACCAAACAAAACAAACCATCGTCTTTCTGTCTCACGTAAGCCGCCATCCGACTGATCCCACTTTTGCTGATCATTAGGACGTCGCAGTGCATGAGGATTTGCTGATCAAAGATAACCTTCTCAAGACCTTCACACTTTTCTTCCGCGTTCACCATTTTGGACCTCTCAACATGCACTACGTTACCCTGAGTGAACACAAGCTTCTCCGCGAAGCTTTGGTTTTTGGCCAGCTGTATGACATCATCAGAATCTGACATCAAGAATATTTTGCTGTTTTTGAACCGATGAGATTGGTTTTTTAGGTGTTTCCACACGGCAGGTAGATCTTCCGGTGTCTGACGTAGTTGAGAGTCGTTGGGCAGGGAGGGGTTGCGTCCCATGCGGATGTGTGCGCAGATAAGTCTGTGACCAGGGGGTCGAGCTGTGGCTAAAAATAAATCCAGACGGCTCTGAAGAGCTGACGACGGTTTGAAAAGAGCTCGATAAAGTTTAGCGTAGACAACATCTCGGCTCAAATTCTTCATCCACGAGAGCTGTTTTGAGTAGATTTTCGACTTTTTGAAGCCGTCAATGTAATCCAAGTTAGCTTTGAAATACGCGAACTTTGCCGGTCCGATCATGTTGGTAAAGTTGATCAAATGTAGACGTCCATAGAAGTCCGACTTATCCACCATATTCAAGTACGCCGTGTCCCCAGATTTCCCATGTCTCTCAAGCTTCGTGTGAAAGGAGTGAGGCAAGCTCCAGTTGAACACGTTGGGAACCAGAAACTTCTCCAAGTGACAAGAAAACGACAAGAGCTCAGCCTTGAACGTTCGTCCTGAAAAAAAAGAACAGGTTGCAGAAATAACATGTTATTTTATTTGTTTTCAGTTTATATTTGTTTTAAATTGGGTCAAAGACAATCGAATTGCTGCCTTTACTTTAAGATGGATAGTGCTTTAGATGCCCCGTATAGATACTATTATGTCGAAAGTATATTTATTTACGAAGTATTTTGTAAAAGAAACAAGTTCTAAATTTGACAAACTTGTCTGACAATAAATATTGTGAAAGTATACCTGCAAAATCGTTTATAAGTTTTGTTAACGTCTTAAGAAAAGATAAGATAAGGTAAGATAAGATAAGATACAATACGATATAATAAGATAAGACAATACTTTAACATAAATTAGGCAAATTATTATTTTTATGTGTCTTTACAGGAATAACAAAATCATGGAATGAAGAAGTCAGTTAAAAAGGACTTAAAGCAAGATATCTGCTATTACCTAAAAAAAAACCCCAAACAAACTCAAAAGCTGTCGGTTTATCTAAATATGACTCGCCACAACAGGCAAACGTTTCATCCTACCGTATCGCTTTGAGCATTGTTTAAACACGATTATTTTCTCCAGCCTTGACTTCAGATGCATGTATCAGACAACATCTTCACGTAGGCTGTTTACAAAATTACCGGCGGAACTACTACTACTACTACTACTACTACTACTACTACTACTACTACTACTACTACTACTACTACTACTACTACTACTACTACTACTACTACTACTACTACCACTACTACTACTACTACTACTACTACTACTACTACTACTACTACTACTATAATAATAACAATAATAATAATGACTGTAATAATAACGATTACAACAATACTGGAGAAGAAGAAGAAGAAGAAGAAGAAGAAGAAGAAGAAGAAGAAGAAGAAGAAGAAGAAGAAGAAGAAGAAGAAGAAGAAGAAGAAGAAGAAGAAGAAGAAGAAGAAAAAGAAGAAGAAAAGCACTACTACTACCACCACCACCACCACCACCACCACCACCACCAACAACAACAACAACAACAACAACAACAACACCACCACCACCACCAACAACAACGACAACAACAACAGTTATACTTACCAGTCAGATTAGCAATGAGGAATCCGGTGAGTATACCTTTGAGCCTGTCCGCCCAACCTCCGCAGAATCTCATGAGTCCATCATCACAGCGGTAGATGAAATATTTCTCATCCTCATTTTTATCTGACGAGATGTCATTGATGCGAGAGGGGAGAAGATAACGGGGCAAGTCTAGTTTATCGTCAAATACCTTTCCAGTGGTCTTAGGGATACCACTGTTCGAAGACGCGTGTTTTGACTCTAAAACTTGGGCTTCTGTGTGGTTCCTAAACGGGGTGTCATTCACTGTTGGTGTGTCATTCTTATTTGGGACATCATTCGAAGACGGGCTGCTAGTTTTATAAGACACGATATCATCATTTCTTAAAGTATTACTTTCCGAGTCAAACGAATGTAATTGTTTAGTGTTTATTTCAGTGACATGACTGGGCTGATCACGTGACTTTCGGCTATCTCTTTCTGCCTGAATCCGAAGACCACTCACTGATTCATCTGAAGTTTGAATTCTTCTACTCCCCTTTGTCGTCGTACTTTTGTCTTCTTCAACGTCTTGCTTTTCATCCGGCACAATTTTGGAGGGATCTGAAAGCAGCCACAATCCCTTCTGCTCCTCACCTCCTCCAGCATGCCCACTCTGAACGCTCAGAAACGACGTAAATGTCAGCGGCAGATACTTAGGTGTGTTGGTGATGATGACCAGAAGAAGAATCCAGACGATGAGGAAGAGGAGAACTCGAAAACTGCGCGATGCAGACATCACTGACCTGTGCTCATTTATTACACACTCACGCAAACTCAAAAACACACACACAGCACACAAGGCTTACAACGGTCCGTCTTAGATGATACATACATGTATCGAATACCTCTGATACCTCTGAAAGGTTCGATTGCAATAGCAGGCCTCGGGACATTACAAACTACAAAGCGTGGGCTAACATAGCACTTGGACATGGTTGGCTGGTGCCTCTATAAATAAATCATCGATGGTCAAGTGCAATGCGTGTTCGGGTACAGGCACAATATAGAATTAATTTGTTTCATCGCACACTTACCGCTATAAATAGTAACAATGTCCTTAGTGATTAATGTACTGCAATGGTGGTCAAATTATTGCTTCATCTAAGTCAAACTTACGATTTATAGCATTATTATCCCCAAACGAACACACACATACACACATACACACGCGCAAAAACATTTGTAAGCATGAGTGCGTCTAAGTGTGTGCATTTGTGTGTGTGTTTGTGTGTGTGTGTTTGTGTGTGTTTGCATATATATGTGTATGTGTGTGTATGTGTGTGTGTGTGTGTGTGTGTGTGTGTGTGCGTGAGTGTATGTGTGTTTGCGTCTGTGCGTATGTGTATGTGCCTGCGCGTTTGCGTATGTGTATGTGTGTGTGTATGTGTGTATCTGCGTGTGCCTGCTCGTTTGCATTTGCGTATGTGTATGCGTGTGTGTGTGTATTTGTGTGTGTGTGTGTGTGTGTGTGTGTGTGTGTGTGTGTGTGTGTGTGTGTGTGTGTGTGCACCATCGGCTATCCTGCTACCCCTCGCACACACCCGTGATATGATGATCCTGCCAAGACCTCGCCCCGAGGCGTACGATGTTTCGTTACAGATACAGATCTGAGGACGGGGGTAAGACAATCGAGACATCCCAGGAAGGACTGTCGTACATGTATCATGGGCAGGCAGGTATCTGGACAACAGCTGTTGTGCTTGAGGTATAGATCTATTGTGATGTGTGACGTGAAGAGAAAGTGTGGAGTGATTGTGTGTGTGTGTGTGTGTGTGTGTGTGTGTGTGTGTGTAAGAGATAAATAGATAGATGGATATATATATATATATCCCAGGCCTGTAAGGCGGAGGGAAAATGTTTCAAAGTAGGGCGTATTCGATAGCGAATATTGAATCTATAAACCATATCGCAGTGTCGCAAATGTCCTATCAACATTTTGAATAAAACGAGTGGTGCTGCAAATGTCCTAAGAAGAAAATTATGAAAAATCACTAGTGCCGCAAACGTACTATTCTAAAACTGAAGTCCCGCAAATGGAAAGCTCCTCATCTAGGTCGGCACTTCATACCACAACTCTTCTTTCCTCAAATCGTGTGTATCTTGATCTCATTTACGCCCGTCGTCAAAATCGTTTTCTACGAAATACATTACTGATGTTAGTTCGAGTATTGAGAAGCGCATCGACACAAAAACGACTCTTTAGTGCAAGAGGAAAGAAAGCAAGTCGGACAGACAGAAACGACGGTAGGAGAAAAAAGAAACACAGATGCGAAAACGCTGGGCACTCCGTTCACCCGCAAAAAACGCCATTATGGACAAAGGAAAAAGATTAAAACATGGAAAAAGAGATAACAATAACCCCAAAAGAAACAACAAAATAATCTCAGTTTATTCAGAAGTTGGGGAGAGAACGGACAAGTACATACGTCATTAATTAACATTTACTGTTTTGATGTTTTGAACGCATGAGGTGAAACCCCCATTCACTGCTTTTGATAAACTTTAGGCTAACTTCAAGTAAAACTCATCGGAACCTGAGTTTGCGGTGTCTTTCATTAAAAGGCTTTTTAGATTATGTTGGTCATCACACTTTTGGAGCCGCATGCAGAGATTTTACTAAGAAGAATATTTAGAGTGGTTTTTTCTTACTTTTTAAATCTCGTTTTAACATGGGCAGACGAAGGTGTAATTCCCTGTGATAAGAGTTCGTTCCAGAATCGTATATTATACCAAAAAAACCCAACAACCATGTACATAATATTATAATAATTTAACATCATCTACAATTATATTATCTTACAATAAATGTACACAATACCAAACACATTCAACAGGTAGTTTTCGGTTGCCATTGTATAGCAGCCGTCTTGTAGCTAGTGTTGAAGTATTTTGGCAGGCGCCTATGGTGTAGCACGTAGAAAACGTGGTGAAGCCAGGCCCTTGTCAAAATTGACTAACCCAGTTTGGGAAAACCACACTTCAATTACTGAGTCCTATCTGCTCAATAGCTAGTTTGCAGAAGTTTGACATCAAATTTAAGTTAAGCTTTTTTAAATGAAATTCTTTGAACATCTAGATACCGACTCCGAATATTAATACGATTTTGATAGCGCCGATAGATCTAAAACATTTGATTTCTGATGATGATGGTGATGATAATGATGATGATGATGATGATGATGATGATGATGATGATGATGATGGTGATGATGATGATGATGATGACACAGCTGCCGCTGCTCCTTGTGACAGTTATCATGACGAGACCTCTGCTGCCGCTGACAACGTAAGGATGCTGTTGTCGTTGTTGCTGCTGCGTCTGTTTTACGTCATATTTCACCCCTCTCTTGATCGTTCCTTGTACGGTATCTAAGAAGTCAGTCCATTCCCGGAACTGTCGCAGTTTTTGGACACATGGTCTATCACAGCCACGTTCACCCGGGCCGCTGTGGTTTTAGATTCTGAAAAAAGCAAACATTGGTGTCACTTTCTAACATTTAATGGGTTGAAATAATATTGTCGCTTTTAAACACAAGAAGGATATCCCGAATAATGCTGTTTTGAGAAAATCGAAGGTAAAGTTTTTGCCCCTTGTTCAGTTTCTTTAAAAGACAAGAAGAATTTTCTCTATATTACAAAACAAATATACACACCAATGAAACCAAACTTCTCCTATAAGTAGGGCAATGCCCACTTTTGGTGTAGATCACGATTTCTGGAAACCCCCGAAATCTGGGTTAGCCCGCTTGTTCTTAAAAGCGACCATATAAGATATGGACTAAAGCAGTGCTTGACAAAATACGTATAGCCTTTGGTCAAAATGTGTATGGAACGTTACATCAACAAGTGACTATAGTCCACATTTGGCTATCTTAGAATTACAATGTTCCGTCTTGTCTTTCAATTTTTGGCCGTTTTGAGTTCCTGAGACCATGAGGCCAGAAACCCAAAGTTCCGTCTGCTTTATCAATACATGTACCGTAAGATTATTCGGAGTAGCTGCAAGATATTCTAAGAATTCCATTCCGAAAGCTTGATATATTGTGAAACTCAATTTAAAAAAAAAAAAATAAAAGTCGAATTTCTCAAAACTAGGTATTGAGCATTCAGAACGAAGTATTTCCAGGGTAGTGATGCCCACTACGGATAGGATCGGTTGATCGGACTCATGTTTGTTTTCAGTTTCAGGCGATCGAGTCGGGCGATCGGTCCGATCCAGCCTTAGTGGGCACCCCGTGTTAAGGGGGCGGAATCTATCTTCTCCGAGGGGCGAACTGAGAACAGTATGGAGGAAATCATGGTGGAATGATTTCAAACAAAGACAAACTAAAACATATACCCCTCTATTCCTTTTTAAAAAATTCCAAAGCGAGTCTCCTTTAAAAATCGGACACATTTACAATAAGTGTTGTCTCTTGTTCTACCCTCTTCTCTTTCTCTCTCTCTCTCTCTCT